GAACCGCAGCAATGCTGCAATTTCTGTTACGGCTCTTCGCTGTAATGTGATCCGGAATGAGGGCTACCTGCCACTCAGATGGTTTAACTCGTTAAGGTTCTTTATAAAAAGAACCAGCTTCAGCTGCAGGTTTTTTGCTTATAGTAAGGGAAGAATGATTCATTCTATGTATGTATGTATGTGTGTGTGTGTGTGTGAGTGTGTGTCTATCTGTCTATCTATATGTCTGTCTGTCTGTCTCTCTCTACTTTTGTTGCCTTGTGTATGCATCTACAGTCTGTGTACACAAAATCTTCGGTTTAGGCACTTGGCACATAAAAGAACGGAATGTAGCACAAAGACATCTTGAAGACACGAGAGAATTAATAAATATAGATTTCCCCCTCTAGGCACCCTTGACAGAGACAATTGAACCATCATTGATTTCAGGACGGGGAACCAAAATCCTTGACTGCAAAATACATGTTGTGAGGCACTGAACGACAGTACTATTCTTAATCGGTTTAGCCCCTTCAAAGACAAAGAGGTTCAGGGTGCAAGTGTTTTTTATACAAACAGGCTCAAACTGCACAAGTTACATATAAATTTCAAAGGTTGTAATATCAATAAAAGATGCGAATTTCGAAGTCCATGTCATGTTAATTACTGTGGAGTTGAAAGATGGGGATTTTGAGTTAGGGATTAGGTCTAGTTGCAACATATATTGCACATAAGTGTATTAGAGATACTACTTACCCATTTGTCTACTGTCTGAAAGCTGAGAATACAGGAAAATAAAAAAGAACTGTATAAATGTGGAGGTGAGCCTGGAGGTGAGACTGTGTGGTGAATAACTGCAGAGCTAGGTCATAAATTTTTTACTGTTTACCTTTGATCACCTTTCTTACTGTGATATCACCAGACATCTCCTGAGGGTCTTAATCTGACACTCAACTTCAGGCTGTTGATATCAACTGAAAACAAGCCTTTCTCTAATGCATAATTCTTTCCCCCAAATGGAAAACTTGCAGACTACTTTTTACTGACCTGATTTTACTTGTATATATTTACATGTCTCTAGAGAGACATCTAAAGTGCACAAAACTAGTCGTATGTCAGCATACACACAGTAAATTCATTTCACTGCATGGCTCTGCAGTTTATTGTGTGTTATCACCGCCTTGTGAAAAGTTTGGTGTTTAAAGGTATTAATTGAAATAGATATTAATATGCTTTTCATTAGCTTATATAATTTTTATATCTATATGTAGATAGATACATGTTTATTCATACATGCGTGGTATCAACCCATGTATATTCTATAAGTACTCTTTATCTTTTAATCATGTAACTTAATACATGGTGTAGAGACATTGACTACTCATTCTGTAGGAGTGGTTTATTAGACGAAAATGAAGAACTTCCAAAGCAAAGGCAAACTGAGAGAATAAGTACATTAGAATTGCAAGACAGACAGACTTCACAAGAGTAGTGGCCATATCAAAACCAATGAACAGTGGAGATCAAACATTGCATGAAAAGGATCAAGTAGGACAGAAGTGAAGAATGTCATGTTATCTGATTTCAGTAGAGACTGATTCAGACTGTAACTAATGTACAAAGTTAAAGTGTGGCTTGCGATTGAAACGTTTTTTACCGTCCTGGGGAGTTCATTACAGTTTTGGAAAATGAGCCCTACTCTGATTGCAGACAGCTCCACTGTGCTGGCACAGTAACCAAGCTAACCAAGGCTTTTTATCCCAGTGCATAAGACACTTCTTCAGACTGCGTAGAACCAGTCCATGGAAAGCTAATATCATGAGCTTGGCTCAGTATGTGGTACAAATGAGAGTGTAGATCATGTTTGTGGCATCTAATATTGCTGTGGGTAGATGCCTGACAGAGATGTCTCTTTGCTGGGGCTTTTTGAGCACCAATAACTTCATTTCGATGCATATTGCATTGCTACAGGTCTTGTAGGTAGCAAAGAAGTTGTGGATACTTGCAAGGAGTAAAAGTGAAACACTCAACAACTCCCCAAAGCCATAGGGATGTGTACTTTCAACCAAAGGAGGACTGGGTGGACCGCAGGCTCTTTGAAGGCCTCACTCAGATGCAATGTCAAACCCTGGCTTATTTTTGGTTCTTAAATATCAGCCATTGCTCTAATTTCTACCTTTTGCTTTTTATCTTGTGCTATGTATTGTAAATCTTACAACGTCCTGTGGGAAATCAGGTAAAGGGTTCTAGCTGATGCTGGTTATGAGAAGTAATATATGAAACTACTTCCTAGAGCCCTGATTCCTTTGTTCTCCTTTTAATATGTTTTGCAACTTAACCAGGATTGTGAGTCTTCATGCTTAAAGCATTTTTCGTTGCCAAGAAGCTGCCTTAACGATGTGATGATCTGCCATATTAGTTGGGTTACGGTGTTCTCTGCCACCTTCAGTCCATCTGAGCTGAAGATAAGGTTCAACGTAGGACTTCGGTGGTGACACCACAGAAGCCTTTGACAGACGAGAGGAGACATGAGCTTTATCCTATTGGGCCTGCCAATTTGTACACTGAATTCTCCAGTATGACAAATCTGGAGCTTTGTCCCAGTGGCTACAAAATAGTATAATCAATCAACTGGATTCATCAAGTACTCGTTTAAGAAGAATGAATGTATGGGCATCAGACGTCAGACCTCATTGGCCAGGACAGTAGCTGAGGATGTTCCTTAAGTCATGGTGCTGAACTTCGCATACTAAGATACTAAAATCTTGAGAACAACAAGAAAAAAAAAAGCCATTACTTGCAATGATAAACTGTGTTTTTTGAGATGTCATTGATGTCTAAATGTTGTCATGTGTTTTGTTATGCCTCCCAGGTGGTCATATGGATAACAACATCAGCAGCTTATTTCAGAGTGATGGGAATGGGCTCGATTAAAACAGCCAGACAGCAGTTTACTAAAAATTGGAAGAGTTCTGAAATGACATTGGTAAAATAAGACTCCCTGCAGCATACCCCACTGCTGCTTGTCAGAAACCAATGTTGTTTTGATACAGTGACTGAAAGAAAAGAAACCCCAAAGTGCCCCTAAAACTAGAACTCAATATACTCTCCAATAAATCATTCTAGGGGTGACACATTGTACGGTGGGAAAACCTCTAAACGAAGGTGTATGGCAGTCTGTGAGAGAAGACCCAGGAAGCGCAAGGGGTAGTGGTGTTGATTCAGAAGTATGGTCTGCATGGTGGGCTTATCCCAGGTGGGTTAACAAACTGCAGGAGGTAGCCTGGACTTTGCTATGTCATTTAGAGCTGTTTGTATTGGGTAGTATATTAGACTGAAATTTTGGAGAGACTTGACTGCCAAATAAGTGGACAGATGAGAAAGGAACCATGTGGCATTGGCTGGAGTAGATGTTTGGTGAATTCACACTGCTGATGTGGCACTGGACAGCAGAGCCAAGCAATCCCAAATGAGCTGTGTGTTAAGCCACGAAGACAGGAGATCAAAATCAGAAATGGCAGTGAGCAGCCAGTACCAGTTTGCCAGGAGCTTTCGTAGTTGTGATGAAAAACATGTCCTCAGGGTATCACAGCTATCATCTTAACTGTACGGATGTGTAAAGTGTCTGTGGAGTCACAGGACCAGATCAAATAAGGAATCCAGGAAAGGAGCACCTCTGAGATATGACGGATGTATGCGCTTTTCTAAGTTTACTTGGAAGGTACAGAGAGCTATCAATGAACTGCTTTTAAGGGACAGAAGTATAAAAGCCACTCCTCTTCTGTGGTAGATCTCACTTAGGAATTTAGGTCTGGTTGGTGGAAGCACCTCTGTTTTTTTTTAAAGTAAAAATCTTTAATTTGGACAATAGGCAGGGTATCTTGGGAAACTGCCCTTGTCTTGGTGGATGGACATTTCTGATGACATCTGTTTCAAAACCCAGAAAAACTTGCGACACTGTAAGGAGACAAATCTAGCCAAACATTTCCAAATATCCTAGGTGGAAGG